GGGTTAGCAAACCCGGCGGGGTCCATCGGAGGCATGGGCTGTTGATTGGTCCCAAGCCCAGTGCTGCTGTACAAGCACGGCTGACCCAGTTGACAGGATTGGATAGATGGTTAAGTCGTTTTATAAGGTCGTCCCACGTAGACAAGCGCACAGAAGAGAGTGGCAGCGGGGGGCAAGCTCCCGTGCCGCACACCAGTAACCAGTCGCAATAAATCCACCGCCGCAAAGATGCATCCATACCTCGGAACACATCACAGCTTGCTAAAGATACGCAGGGATTACCCCGAAGATCCGCACCCGCTGGGCGGTCGATTGCAGTCGCACAATTCCATAGCTCCAAACCACATATGAGTACTACAGCAGTAGCTCTCGTGAGGATTACATAATCCATAATCCACGTCACGAACATGGGCAACATCCCCATGGGCGCCCCCCCCCACGCCGCGTTGAAGGCTGGCGCCAACGACATGGGGTTCACCCCACTTCCGCTCAGCGGGGCATGCATTGGCAAACCGACAACTCTCTTTAAGGTCGAGAACTCCTCATCCATTTTCTTACAGTCGACCTGCTCCCCCTCATCGCAATCTTCGAGGAGCCTTTGCCGCAACCACAAGACACCCATCATTGCCTGGTTCGTCGCACTGGCCTTCTGAAGACCTGTTTGCATGTAGAATAAGCGAGTTACCTCCTCATGGAGCGCCGGGTCAAGTTTCGCCAGCCTCAAGGCTTCGTCTATTTCTCGTCTGCAATTCTGCAACAGCATCTCCTGTGTGGCCACCAATTGGCGGCCTGCTCCATTCATGGAATGAGGGTCGTGAGGTTTCCCATCCGTGATTGGAGCTGCACTAAAGCGGTGAACATAATAGGGGAAGGGGAGGGGGGGTCGTGACCCAACACCATGCGAGAGCCGGGCGTGAGACGTGTAAAGTGATGCTGGAACATCACAGCCGTCATGAGCGATGATGGCCTGACGTCGTGATCTTCAACAGTGAACCCCCCCAGCCATGCTTTGTGAGAAAGGGCGTGACCTAGTGGAGTGGAGACTCCGCTACCTGTGTGACCAAGATACTCGAATTTCTCAGCGCCGTGTGATATAGGCTGGCTACACAAACTCCGTAACGCCACGTGATGCCGGTCTGAGATTTTGTAATGCCAAACCGTCCAACGATAGGCTCGTTTAGCGCCTTGTGATATAGGCCTGGGACGGTGNTTGTGGGTTAGCAAACCCGGCGGGGTCCATCGGAGGCATGGGCAACATCCCCATGGGCGCCCCCCCCCACGCCGCGTTGAAGGCTGGCGCCAACGACATGGGGTTCACCCCATTTTCTCTCAGCGGGGCATGCATTGGCAAACCGACAACTCTCTTTAAGGTCGAGAACTCCTCATCCATTTTCTTACAGTCGACCTGCTCCCCCTTATCGCAATCTTCGAGGAGCCTTTGCCGCAACCACAAGACACCCATCATTGCCTGGTTCGTCGCACTGGCCTTCTGAAGACCTGTTTGCATGTAGAATAAGCGAGTTACCTCCTCATGGAGCGCCGGGTCAAGTTTCGCCAGCCTCAAGGCTTCGTCTATTTCTCGTCTGCAATTCTGCAACAGCATCTCCTGTGTGGCCACCAATTGGCGGCCTGCTCCATTCATGGAATGAGGGTCGTGAGGTTTCCCATCCGTGATTGGAGCTGCACTAAAGCGGTGAACATAATAGGGGAAGGGGAGGGGGGGTCGTGACCCAACACCATGCGAGAGCCGGGCGTGAGACGTGTAAAGTGATGCTGGAACATCACAGCCGTCATGAGCGATGATGGCCTGACGTCGTGATCTTCAACAGTGAACCCCCCCAGCCATGCTTTGTGAGAAAGGGCGTGACCTAGTGGAGTGGAGACTCCGCTACCTGTGTGACCAAGATACTCGAATTTCTCAGCGCCGTGTGATATAGGCTGGCTACACAAACTCCGTAACGCCACGTGATGCCGGTCTGAGATTTTGTAATGCCAAACCGTCCAACGATAGGCTCGTTTAGCGCCTTGTGATATAGGCCTGGGACGGTGACTCGCCATCTGGTACACGTTCTCTGGGACGCCTTGTGAGATAGGCAAGGGACTTCCTGTGCCGTGACATCTGGCGCCTGTTCGCTGTGACACCTTGTGATATAGGCATGGAAACTGTAACGCGACCTCTGGTGAAAGCTCGCTGTGACGCCTTGTGATATAGGCATGGAAACTACTGCACCCCGACACCTGGTGAATGTTCGCTGTAACGCCTCGTGATCCAGGCCTAGAACTGTGACGCGACATCCGGGGAATGGTCGCTGTGACGCCTTGTGGAACAGGCATAGAAATGTTGACGCGAGTCTGGTGAGTGTTCGCTGTGACGCCTCGTGACATAGGCATGGGACTATGACGCGACATCTGGTAAATGTTCGCTGGGACGCCTCGTAATTTAGGTATGGAAACTGTAACGCAACATCTGGTTGATATTCGCTGCGACGCCTTGTGATATAAGCCTGGAACTGTGACGCGACATGTGGTGAATGTTCGCTGTGACGCCTCCATTTGGTGACCACGCTCGGGTAACACCGGGCGCATCAGTTGGCCGTGAGGTGTCAAAAGAACTACCATACCTCTAGTCACGTTTCTGTCATGTACGGTGATGCATGATCGCCAGAACACAAAACCCCCCAGCAATCCACCAGTATATGTGCAACATGGCCTCACATTTGGACCATACGTAAACTCCACCGTGATTTCGGAATGCCAATCAACATTTTTTTTTCTTTTTTTTGGGGGCGGGGTGTATGCGAACACGGCTTTGCGCACAAGCAGCGGCGTCCCTCGGTG